TAAATACCTAATTCAGAGATATCATTGGTTACTGGTAATATATTTGTTGGACTTTCACAAACTGTTTTTTGTCCTGAAAATTGTATGCTGATAATTTTATTTCATTATGATCTAGAAAAGGCTTCTAGTTCGATGTTCCACATGCTATTTTGTAACACAAGACCAGCCTGAATTTGTTCATATTAGACCTATTAATAAATAAACAAATAAATAAATGAATTCATTATTAGTTTTTAAAAATCCTGCTGTAGACAATCTACTACAAATCGCAATAAACTGCTCCACTATTTGAAAGTTCTGGGTTTCTTATTTCTGAGTTTGTCTAGCATCAAATTCCTATCTATTCCTATTCCTATTGTTAGACCTTTTCTTCTGAAAAGAAGGCTCCGTAATCTGGATACATACAGGTCATCACTGAGGCACTTCATCTTTTTTTGTGAAGTTAAACAGTCTGAGCTCCTGGAGTCTAAATCGTTGGGTAGATTTTCCAGTGTTATAATCATGTTTCTCTTCTCAACCTTACGCAGATTAAAACAATTTTAGTTAAACTGCAAACGCCAGAAGTTTTCTAAGAAATACAGTTTTAGGACGAGCCCCTAAGTCTTGCAAGCCCTAGTCAATAGTGCTGAAAACATAATTTCTATTCAGTGCTATATATTTTTGAAGTCTATGCCATGCAGAGAGAATTCATAGATCTATGTAGGTTCTTATTATCTTTTAGATAGAATTTGACACTGCACTTAGAAATTTTTTGTTCCTTAAGATGTGGTCTACTAAATGGTGTCAGTCTTTAAGAAAAATGCTCTGAGAAAGTGCTTTTTTAAGGCCTGGAGGCATTTTTTATTACTGCTTTTAAAGATGTGGGACCTTTTGAATCCTGTGTGGTAACTAAAGCACTATGAAATTCTCAATTTGCTAAACTACACCACTTTATGTGTAATATTTACCTGCAGTTATTATTTCTTTCATTAATGTCTGATTTTAAAGGTCTGCAGTTAGACTTATATAGCTTGACTATGATCTTTAGGATTGCTTAAATTGCTCTGGAATGTCTCATTTTTTAATTGGAACTGGTAGCCCAAACTGCCTGAACAAAAACGTCAGTCAGGGATTTTGTTTATTGTCTAAAAGTGTATGATTATTTGTTTAATGTGAATGAACTTCCCTCGTCAATCCGTGTTTTATCTTTCTGTATATTTTTTTCCAAGAAAAAGTTAAGCTGCTATCAGCGCATTTGTGGCAAACTAGGTGGAATGTCATTGTTTTTGAAGTACAGGAAAACATTTTTCATCTCCTTAAATGTGTTGTGCCAGTTGGAAACATTGGATTGAGCTGGAAATCACTGTGAGCCAGCAGTGGACGAGATAAGGTTAAGTGACAAATCGCTAAAGTATGGGAACAATGGAAGCAAAGTAGCTCAAGTTCTCATTTCCTTTTCCTCTTCTGAAAAAAATTCTGAATCATAAATGGCAAGCAATAACCAAAAAAACTCATAAGATCTCATTTTAACTGTTGAGAGTGAACCATGAAGGCACTGTCAGTGATTCTTCCAGTGAACAAATCTTGCCACAGCACTCACTATCATTGTTGGCACACAGTAACACCAGGGTGGGTGAGCTCAGCGGAAAAGCTTATATCAGAGTAACTTAGAGATGTGAGTGACTGCTATCTTGTCAGTGTTTGAAATGGGACAATATGCTCTCACATGACAGTGCTTTTTTTATTTCTACATATTTTGAAAATAGTTGTACCCACACTGTTATGGAGGGAAGGGGATGTCACAACCTCCGAGATCTTTATGAGGGCTGTTGCCTCCTGCTGAGTTTCTGCATGCTCTGGTTTCACAATCAGCACTCACAGCCCAGTGTTGGCTTCCCTCTGTGAGTGGTAAGGCTCACTGTTTCGCAGATCTCACGTTAAGTTCAGAGCTCAGCAGCTATAATCTATAAGCAGAAGCAGGTCTTAATTTGCTAAATCCCCACTTGACTTCCTCACAGACTGATGTGGAAACCATACCTCGGTCTTGACAAAGTCTTCAGGCTTGAGGAGCTCCCACACAGTGGTATTTCTGGGCACGACACAAGAGCACACTAAAAGTACAGTTAATATCAGTACTTTCTGATTGTTTATTAACACCCTGCTCAGCTCATCAGGCAGATTTAATTGGGTTTTGGCATAATAATCCAGAAAATAAAAAATAGGTAAGAGTGGAGCTGATGATGAAACACAGAAAAACTGTTCTGGGTGAAATTTCCAACAGTTCTAAAATAATTAGAACTCTGAGTCCATCTTTCAGAATGACACAGAGCCTCTGACATCTGAATCTCACCAAAAGGTGGGGTCAAATTCCTAATGCCGAAGACTGCAGTTAATCTGAAAAGGTTGTTAAATTTATTTAAAACATTTTTCCGCTTTTGAAATGACTCTGTAATGAATCTTGATGAATCACGTGTAGCCAAAAATTGCGTATCGTATCTGACAAAAGGAAGAGGGGTCCAAGAAGAGAAAGAGGGGACACAGAAGTGAGATTGCATGATATCCATAATCCTCCAGTTACCAAGCCGCTCATCAGTAGGCCAGCACTTGTGAGTTACAACAGCCTGCAGGGTCTTGCAGTGTATGTTGCCTGCCAGCTGCTCCTAGCAGCCAGTCTAGCAATCACAAACCAGTGCCCCTGTTCTTCTTTCCTCAGGCCACATACCTTCTCCAGCCAAGAGGAGGAGGGAGGGCACTGGTCCAGCTCCACCAGTGACTCTCCTTACACTGGAGACACTAACAGGCATAGATCTGTGGGGTTTACACAGCTTTGCACTGTAGAACAGAAACTGAACCTTTGACTCCTGAAGATATCTATCTTCAGACAATACAGTTCTCATTCTGAAGATGAAAGGGCTGCTGAGGTGCCATTGATTGTTTTGGAAATGATTTTCGCCAAAGAATGCTGGTACCTCTCCCAGTCTGAATTAACAGCCTGCTAGGGCTGGAGCCAGGAGCGTTCCTCTAATAACAGAACAATGATATTACTTCTTATTTCACTTACACCACAAATCACACAGCTTGATAGCTTGGAAAAGAAAAGCTGCTGGTACCCATATTTCATTTTGGTGTGTATGAAGACATCCACTTCATCTGATTTGTGAGTACAACAGAGTTAAGTGTGAATGCTCTGAGAAAAGTCATAATGGTCACTCAATATGTAACAGCCAGCTCTCTGCCTTAAGCCTGAAGGTGAAACCATACATGAGGTACAGTTTCTTCTGTGATATCACAGAGCCTATATTGCTGATTGACAACTTCTATTAGATTTTGTCGTAACTTTTGAATAACCTTGCTGGTGACTTAATAAAGCACTTCAGAGTAAGTAAAATAATAACAAAAAGCGCTCTCTGCTGTACCGTGTTAAAATTAGTATATGCTTCCTTCATGTGTTTAACCTATTAAATGATGTATTTTGGCACTGATTCTCCTATGTAACATAACAGGATTTTTCAATGCAGCACATTCAAACACCTTCCCCACTGTTTTCTTGTTTAATGCCTGCCCTTCTTGCCCATACCAGCACTCTGTTATGGTCACATTTGGCGCAGAGGGCAGGGTGGTATTTTATTCCAGCCATCTGACACACCACACTTGTTTTGGCTTGACATAAAAATATGTTTTCTTTTACCAAGTTCATGACTAAGACATGCTCCTCTGGGTTATAAAATTTTTTGCATGACTGGTTTATTGAGTTGAGGATAAATCACATGGTCAGTATCATTCTTAAGCAAGAAATGCTCCAAGAAGAAGGCACTTTTTGAGTATTTCCTGAAAACAACCTGTCACCACTTTCACACCATGGCTGGATCCCTTTATGTAGGAATGGTTCACTTGTAGCAGTCAAAGGCTTCCTGAGCATCACTGTTCCACAAGAGTGTAAACTGGAGTGCTCCATGGATTTAAACTCTGAATGGGAGTTAATTAATAGTCTTGCGCTAAAGGTGGACAAGGACATACACACATAAACAAACAAAAGAACAAGTCAACCTGCCCAAACCCAAGCTCAACAAACTCAAAGGGGCTATTTAGCTTTTCTGATTAGCTAAGTTCAGCTTGATGTCCTTACACTAACTAGACAAGTTTGCAGTAGAGGATAAACAAAATTTTCAAATAAACAGTTGTCCTGATCAACACCACTCTGGCTTTGCTTCTATTGAGATTCAGTGAGTTACTCCTTACCTAAACTCTCCATTTCCTAAAAGTTGTCAGAAGCTTCAGTTTATGAAACAGTAAGTGAATATATTCCCTGTCCCTTTAGACAAGGGTAATCCTGACATTATGCTGTCTCTCACAGTCTCATAGATGTATTGAAAAGCAAGACCACAGGATCCCTGTGGCATATTCTCTTGGGGATCTCTGCAGTGAAAGACCCCTAACAAATATGACTTATTTCTCCCTGTCCTTTGCTGAATACAGCCCCTCCCCAAACATGTCATGTAAAGTGGAAAAAACACACAGAAGGCCCAAATTCTTTCAAAGGTCCAGATAGTTAAATCTGAAAGGCTGTCAAAGGAGTGTCTGAAGAACATCCATTTTTGACCAGCAGCAATTAAGACAGCACAGCAATTCAAAAAGCAGCCCCGAAGGATTCTTCTCTTGGGTTCTCCTGCACCCAGCAAAGCACAGGATCATGAAGAGGGAGAAGATAGTTAACATTACTTTCAACTGTTTTTATGCCATCCCTCTCAAACTGTGTTTTCAAGCTGATGCTACTTCAATGACAGAAAGGAGGAAGCATTTTTGCTACTGCTGGGCTAAAAAATCACCTTACATTACAGTAGCAACCAGTGATTTTACTCTGGAGGCTTATGGATCCCATGATGTGACAACAAACTACACTTTTGATTCCCGTGGCTCTCTATCTGGATTTTATTTCTCTCATATTTTGGCTGAAAGGTGTGGGAGTATGTGTGTGTTAGCATGCATGCAAGCATATATATGCATGTGTAGTTACATCCACTTCACTTTGCAGGTTTTGGTTTACAGGACCGCTGGTGGACGATCAGTCTGTCTGGAAGAAAAGTACGCCCACAAGTATCACAGGGAACTAGCTGGTTCTGGGCACTGATCCAGGCAGCCTCATTTAAAGAATCAAGATCATAGAAACCTTTGCCTGGAAAATTAAAAAAAGAAAGTATCAGCTTTCATTCTGGAGACCCACATTCAACTCTTTATGGAAAATATTTTCAGGAAATACCTGTTGACTGAGCCTTTCTGCTTAACCAAACCATATTGCTTTTGCAAATGAAAAAGAAAGAAAAGAAAGAAGCAAAAGAGTAAAAAGTATACAAAAAAGACTCTACTTTTTGTCCCAGGGGTTGAATTAAATTAACTTCAAAATGAATAATTTTTTATTGTATGAGAGTAAAGAGAAAACATCATGCTGTGTGTTATGCTACGCATTCTCATCTAATTATTAACATCTTTGCATACATATTATTATCAGCAAATTTCACTTTTTGGCTTTACTTCAAGTTCTGTTTAATGAGCATGTGTTATCTGAAAATACACTACACACGATACACTACACCCATTGCCATGGGTGTAGTGTATCGTGTTTGAAAACCTGCTCTTTGTACTGCTCTGGACAAGGGGCCCAATTTTCTTCCTGTTGAAGCTTATGCAAGTTTTGCCAGTAAGTGTAGTAAAGCTTAGGCAAACTTAAAACCTTAAAAAACCTACAGTTGTTTTAAGCCACAACTTCCAGTGATGTCATTGTTCTGATGTGTCTATTGTCATCTAAACATTAATTCAGTCTTTCCCTCAGTTATTTTCCACTGTGGGAAGAGTGACTGCTCTGAAAGCTCAGGAGCATTCTTCAAATCAGTTGTTTTTTCAAGATTTTATTTGAGTGTAAAAAACTCCATGTTTTCTTTCATCTTGAAATGAACTTTCAGGTAGTGTTGTTCCAGAAAGGCCAGGTAGGTTGCTTAATACCTGGATATAGATCTTGAGAGTTTTAATTTGAAACACATAAAGAAACAAAATCTACATGGCTCTAATTGAAGATGTATTTGCTTCACCCTTCTCAAAAGGTGACAATGACAATACAAAAAAAGACTAAAAACCTGGTTTTGCCTTTGAGCAGTTAGCAGCAGACAATTTTTAAAATAAAAGGAGTTGTGCATTTCAAAATATTCCATGGTTTCTGTCATTGGCACATGATAGAGCTCTTCATTAAAGGCCCATACAGTTTTAATATGATTCATATCCAATGGTTCACATAACCACAATAAGCCTTAGATCTCTTAATATGCCTGTTCCTAATGTTCTTTTTGTTAGAAGAGCAACCAAGTAGTGTTTTTTTTCTTGGCTGAGACAAATATCGCCTTTGCTTGCAGGAAATGAATGTGTATTTTCTGTACTTTGGAAAGTTTATGAAATGAAAAAGAAAAAAAAAAAAAAAAAAAAAAAAAGTTTAAAAAAAAAAAAAAAAAAAAAAAAAAAAAAAAAAAAAAAAAAGAGATGACTTTCTCCTTGCAGGCATGTGTTAGGCATTCCACAAACAAAATACTGTGTAATCAGGGCAGCAGTTGTCTTTCTGCAACACTTGAGTTTTCAGAAAGAGATTTATGTAAGTTATAAAAAGTTTTATGTAAGCAGTTAGTATTTCTGAGCTGTTTTTGAACATTGCCTGTTCCATTCAACAACAGGGGTAATCCCTCCTCCCTAAGCTGAGAAGCTGTGAGACATGCAGTACGTGTATGTGGTCGCAAGGTCACTTATAGCATTTACCAGATGATCAAGAGGAAGCCTTACAGAAAAAGAACAACATGGATTATTTTCTCGAGGCTGGGAGCGTGAGGCAACTGCAGGGAGAACCACAATTTTAGCTCAAGCTGCAGAACTGATCAGACTTGCAACAGCAGGCATTTAGGTATTTATGCTGGAAATGGGTCAGTGTCCCCTGGGGAACCATGGGCACACAACACCCCACAGGTCATGCACGGCGCCTGATGTGACTCATCACATAAAGGACACAATTTTCTGATTCATATCTGGATTATTCTCTTAAAGAATGATTGTCTTTCTGCTTCCACTCCTTCAAAATAAGAATAGTGTATTTCAAAATAACCTGGTTTGTCCTTTTGCATCCTCCTCTTTCAGATGGAATTCTCATTTTGTCCATCTTTATTTACCACACCACATATAATAATTTTAAAAAGCTTAACAATGAAAAGAGCAAAGACAATGAAGATGTCTTTTGAACCTGTCCTCTACTGGAGATTCAGCTCTACTGCTTGGCATGGGTTAAACAAATCTTGATTTGACATTATTTGATCTCTGATTATTATTATTTTGAACAGCTGCTTAGTGTTCTCAGTGATCCTGTTCTTTCCTCTGTGTGTCTTCTGGGGACATATTTCTTTGTACAGCTGTAAACTGATCTAGTGTATGACTCTTTCACAGTGAGTTGTAGGAGAATTTGTCTACTTTTCCAGACATTAGGGGAAGTTGTGGGAAATTATGAGGAACATATTAAAAAAAAAAAAAAAAAAAAAAAAAAAAAAAAGTGGGTGAATTAGCTCCCTGTGAGCAAGTGGTCCAAACTTGGCTCAAAATAGCTCAGACCAGCGGGCAGGGCCAGGGAAAGCATCCAGCTGAAATGTTGAAATTACTTTTTGTCAGAATGAGGAACTCCTGGGAGCAGCTTCCAGGCAAAGCACAGGTAAGATTTCCTTTTGGTCCTACAGTGAGTACACACCCCAGGGATACATATGGGAATCCACCTCTACCAGATGCTGGGGATCATCTGTTTTCATGGATTTGAAGAAGTGGAATCTAGGGATCTTACAAAACAGAAACCACAGCACAAAACCATGTAATTCGCCAAAATAAAATGTTTATTTTACACTATATATAGATATATTTTATTTTTTTCCCCACCGTATTTTTGTTATAATGTCTCACAAAGAAAGCCTCTAAGCCTTGTAAATAAAAAGGGACCAGTAGCATCCACTGAATGTTCATTGTGGAAGATACTGCATTTTTATCTACAAATACATTTTAATAAAAAACTGAAACTACAGTATATGTTATAGGTAGGTTTGAAAAAACCTTATTTTCTGCTAGTCATCATGCATCTATCATTATTCTTATTTTAGCACACAACTCCTATTTTCAAGGCAACTTGCTGTTCATCACTCTTAAGTGCTAGCATCAGGCTTTTTTTACAACCAATGCTATAGGTGTAAAACCTGGCTGAAGTAACTATCCCTCTGTTGCCTGAAAGTTGTTTTAATGACTGTACGTCAGTCTGCACATTATTCTTGGGTGATTTTGCCCATTTTAAAATACGCCTGTCTACAGCATTGAAAGTAGTCAAAAAGTAGTACAGTAGCTGTGAAGCAGGTTGCTAACCTTTTTTGTGTTTTGATTCAGAACATACTGACACATAGAGAGGACTGTCGTGGGAGGCACATCTCACGAGGCAACCACTACTCTTACTTCTCATGTTTTCAGCACAAAAGGAGAACAGAATATGTAACAGAAAGCTTAAAATAAGCTACAATGGCTACCTTCTCTTCAGAGTAAAATGGAGAAAGATGTACTTGCAAACTGTTAGGCTACTTCTAAAGTTGTTGTTGCAATTGTCTTTCTATTGTCTTTCTTTTTCTTCTTCTTTTTTTTTTTTTTCCCCTCTCACTTTCTTCCTATTTCCTTATTTGGTCTGTAGCTTACCTTGTATGGGACTGACTTCAGGCTTTTTGGGCTCTGGCCTTTGCAAGTGCTTGGGTAGCATGTCATTCTCCTGGTGCCATTTTTTCAGGCATTGTGGCTCATGGAAACTGATAGATTTTGTTCCGTACTCACGGCCACATATGTAACAAACCACTGTTGGTGGCCGTTTTATCCCCTGTGCCTGCAAGTAAGAATTGTGAAGAAGGATAAATATAGTCTCCAACATTATTGTTGGATCATAACAACTTAGGATGAAAACAGTCACGTACATTGAGAAACCATTTCGTATCTGTGAAATAAGTGTAACAGTTTTTACCAGTTTTCTTTTGCCTGGACTCAGTCTTGAACCTTGTAAAAAATACTGCCTCACTAGCTGGCCACTTGGAACAGCTAGGCTCTTTCTGCAGATACTGGGTTGAAAATTCAGGGGTGTCATCTAATTCATACCTACGTAGGTTTTAGCTTTCTTATTTTCACACCACAAGTTCATGGAAATTCCGAGTCTTCACATGCAGAAGCATCTCTGCTTGACCACACTGCTGCAGCATAGTGTCCATCTTAAATGCTAAAGCTCATTTTTTATCTACCAGACAGAATAAAACATGGAAAGCAGCAGTAAAAGCTTCCTCAGCTGAACTGTTGGTGACTAGTGCAGGGGGAGAAAGACCCTATCTCCAGGTAGAGTACAGTTAAAGCAGGGTGTCCAGCCTTAGCATCTCTTTTATGTCAGTCAGTGACGGTGGCTGTCTCAAGCTTGTGATTGTGGTTCCTAACCCTGTGTTCCTTCTGCCACAGATCAGTTAGCTGGTGGAATTCTTGGCCCTGAAGGATTAAAACTGATCCAGGATATTTCAGGACAGTGGAGTAAAATAGGAGCTGTTTCTTGTTTATCCTGAAGGCCTCAGTGTGAACTTTTCTAGTGACAACAGTGAGGGCCGAGCTGGACTCTAAGCAAGTAATGGTTTCTGCCCTGCAGATCTGCTTTTGTTTTCAGAGAAAAACAGCTCAATGGAAGAAGAAAATCCCTCAACCCCAAACCCCACAAATAGATATTCTAAGCTTGAAAAATATATAATTACTGTGATGTTGCAGGTTATGGACTCAGCTGTGTCCTTAGGCACGTCCTGGACTAGGTGTGGTGTCAGCACCAGCCCTGCTCCAGGAGCAGCACAGGGGCCTACTGCGGACACAGCATGTTGAGGCACAGGGATGGGTCCCAAGCACCAGCGCTTCCTGCACTCCTGACTGTGGCATACCAGTGAGAGATGAGCTATCCCCTGCCTTCATAAAGGCAGAGGGACAGCTGTGCCAGACCAAGCACAGGAAGCCTTTCTCACTCAAACAAGGGAGGTGGGGATTTAATTTTTTTCCTCTGCTCTTGTGTAAGACAAAGCGTAACCTGTTCCAGTATTTATGACTCTGTCAGCCCATCAATGTACTCAAGAAATTCTGGGCAGCTCTTCTCGCATTTATGCTACAGTCTGAAAATGTCATTAGTGAACAATCTGCACAAACTTTCTTTCCTGTATCACACATGTAAACTCAATTACATGAAGAAATACTACTCTACAAAGTGTATTTTTGCTGGGAAAAGTTGGACTTCATCTGGAAAGTTCTCACAATGAATTGAAATATAACTTATCCAAAGCCACTCTTCCCAAGGACATTTTCATCCTCAAACTTTCAAATGGAATTTCCTTAGCCATCTTTGATAACAAGGTATTTTATATACTTCCTATTCATAGCTGAATATAACAGCAGCTGTTTTAAGAATGCTCTCTAATTTTTCATTATCAATTTTCGCCCACTTCCTTGCTTCAGTTCTTGAGCTAGATCTTGTCTGATTTGGAGATAAGACTCTGGGTCCAAATATAGAGTTTTATGAAGGTAGTGTATGTTTCTTTGTATGCTCTGGAGAGATTTAGATAAGGGCAATGCAGTCTTTAACTCCTGAGTTCAGGGTACTCATTTCAGTGTGTATAGTTGCTATGGGCATGCTTACAGCATTTTAGAAATTATTTTCTAAAAAAAATGCTAGGTGTAAAAACACTGTGAACACATTTTCCTCTCCAGCTGTCATTAGGTAGGTTCCTGCCATTCAGTGAAATAGATTCTTTATTGCCTGAAACCTAGGAAAGAGCAATTTTATTTAGATTTAGTGTGTAGGGACCCTTTAAATACTACCAGAAAGGGAAAAGGGAATTCTAGTACAAATGAAAATCATACTGACCTAACTTACACTGTCACAATCATTTGTACTCTATGGGGAAATATAAAAAAAACAAATGTATAGCTTCAAGGACACTTAATGTCCTGTTATGAGACAGGTGAAAAATCACCTTTAAAATGTAAATACTATAAATAAATTTAGCAGCTGCACAGAAATACCATTCAAATTGAACAAATTTGTATGTTGGAAATACATCCATGGAGCGGAGATAGCCATTTATCTCTGAGTGCTTCAGTCAAATCCACTACTCTTGCTCAAAAGTCATTATGATGTCCTACTGTTGAGTAGCTGCCAGATACCTGCAAGAGGAAAGTTAGGCATCTCCATTCAGTACAATCGGGATGCACTTCCATAATTCTGAGACGGTCTTCTTGCTAGTCTCACCTGAAAACTTAAAGACTGAATGAGTGGTGCTGTGATTCTTCCAGATTCTGACAGAGCATTTTTGGGCGAGTTTTGTGTTGCAACTGAGCAAAACCAGGCCTGCAGTTAAACAGAGGATTCTGTTTTCCAAAGTTATCAGTTGGAATTGATTCATAACTAAATGCTACCTGGTGAAAAAAAATATTTTAAGAAATCTCTTTAAGTAGAAACGTCTCTGTTTTGTAATGTCTACAATGAAAAACTGTACAGAAACAACACCAGAGACCAGAATTACTTAAAAAGAATCAGTTCATTCTAAGGATGGGATTATTTTTGCCTGAAATGCAGCGAGTTTGAAACACATCACAACACATCAAATTATGTACATAAATCCTTCTCTGCAAATATGCACATATTAAAAAGATGAAAAATAAAACCTAAAGGAGAGCATCCTTAAAATTGGTAGTGACAGCATTTGTGTTGCCTAACTGTGGAATCCAAGGTATAATAAACTTGAAATTTCTACAGCTGATGATATTTATCCTTCATTTCTTTTTTTCTTCAGAGTGTGCCTATCCCAAAAGTCACATCTGGAGGCCTGCAGTTTGAAACTAAACTATTTTTGGAGTCACCACAATTTTCCAGCCCAAACTATTCACAGGCCAGTGGCTAGGCTGTCTGCTCACTGCTTTGTTTTTGACTTTTAAAAAGGGTTATAGGGAACGTTTGTTCCCGAGGATATGTGTTATTATAAAAATACCTACAAATACCTAACGCTGGAGTTAGGCTTTCCTCTGGTGTCTCACTATTTTCTTTTTTTATCCAAGGCTGCTAAGTGTGTCTGTGTGACCATGAATGAAGTTATTTAGCTCAGAGAGCTACGCAACTATGTGTTTTCAATAGACCTGACATTACTTGAGGTTAGCCCCAGGCTATTATGGTGTTACATGAGGTCAGATCCTCCCATACTGCACAAAACTCCTAATTTCTTCTTAAGTACACTCAACAACACTGACTCCCAAACTTCCCCTCCATAAATATTTATCATCCAGGACTGCACACACCCCCACCTTTCTTAGTTGTTTAATTATCCCTGTATTTTAATGGGAGGATGGGAGGCCTCCTGCTCTAGGCCAGAGCTCTCATCATAGGTTTGGATTGTCCAAGGAACACAAGTTCAGGAAAAGATTGGTAGAAACACTTAGCAACAGCATCATGTTACATGAAAGCAGCCCTCTCCACACATTCTTCTCTGGAAAGGACGAGGTATTTTGCATAAGGCACAGGGACAAGATGTGTCGTGGATCTCATGACCATTCAAAGGTGCATTTCACGCCTTCTGGAGGGCGTTCAGCCACTGCCCCAATTCATGTTAGGACAGCTCATATGTCTGTGTATGAGATTTCATTGAACAGCAAGGTAATTCTGCTAGATGGTGCACGTAATTAAAGATTTTACTCTACTGGAAGCACTAGAATATCCTATTTTACTCCTGATGTGCTATATTACAAAAGGAACACATCAGTATAAAGAAAATAGCATTTGTGTAAAAGCAGAAAGGCAGGAAGTTCAGTCATTCCCAATGATCGTAAGTTCCACTCAAATCATTGATTCACCGTCCATTCTCACCTAACTTTTTGTATTTGTGAGTATATTTGTCAGTATTCTCCCAAGAAGATTTTCAAAACTGCTACAACTGAGGCAACTTTACCACTGAATTCCCACCTTCACTAGAATTACACAGCAACTGAAACAGTTTTCATTTTGCCAAGTGACTATATGGCTTTATGGTATAGCAAGATACAACATCAATATTTTGCTGTTACACAGGTTTGCAAGAATTCTGCTGTGTTAAAATGCATGATGAAAGAAGATCACTGAAATCTAATTCTTATGTAGTTAACTTGATAAGAAGAAAACAGCAGATGGCAGCACCAGATGCTAGTGATACATCTGATAGGCTTTTACAACCAGTGTTATCTGTTGTCAAAAAATCTGTAACATATATCCACAATTAATACTGACTTACATTTTGGTCCATGAAAGAGTTTAAAAAACACACACTGCTCTAGTGCAAGTCTGAGTTTCAGCAGTTCCAGACACCAATTCCATAGTCTGGGATATCACAGCAGAATCCTAAACAGAATTTCTGAGCTGATATGACCCTTTTGAGTCTCTTAAGCATGGGCTATTGTTTGTTTTACACAGCTAGACATGACTAACTCAGATGTCCATTGTGAGAGCACGAACAGTTAGTGGAAAAGATGGCTTAGAGAGGCTGTGAATTTTTCAGTTCTAAAATTATTTAACACTGAACTGGGTGTTTGTCAGTAAAGGCACTGGTTTAGTTGATCCTGCAGTTGATTGAGCTCCAGGACAGAAGCACACAGGCAGAAGTCCTTGCAGTTGTAAAGTTAAAATAACCTTCATATGGGGTACTGCCAAATCAGTTAAACCTTTAGTTTTAAAATGAGGAAAATCCAGCTTTTTAATTTAGGATATTTTCCATTGCGTAAATTGACAGTAACATTACAGTTCTTAAATACACTTATATAAAGGCTGGGTTTGGGTTGGTTTGTTTGGTTTTTTTTCATTTATTTATTCTCTCTGATGTTTTGCTGAATCAGGACTTGAAAAAAATACTTAAATAATTCACTGTCGCAGTGAGCAGGTCTGTTAAGTGAGACATAGACTGCCCCAAATGCTTTCCTGCCAGGACTCAAGCAGATTTCCATTTTACTCCACTCCTAGTATATTTAAACAGAATTAATAAGCAGCTGAGTAGCTGGTGAGGTGAGCAAAATTAAAACCATATGCTGGGAGATGATGAAGACTGTAGAGGAGATTCAGCCCTTGTCCCTGTTCATAGAAAATCTGCAGTCCTTCTGTGAGCTTAGTGCTTTTCAAGATCCTTCAATATATGGACCTTTCAAAAATATCACATGGAGGTGGAGACCCTCATAGAGAGAATTTAAACCTGTGGAAAAGGGGCTTCCTTTGACCACTTCTCAGAGGCAAGCTGCCAGTCCTGAACAGTCCCTGGGTCACAGTTTCTTTCCCTCTTTCCATTCCTATCTCTGCCTTTAGTGTGTACCTCTATACAAAAGAACAGCTCTAAAACGGAAAAAAAAAAAAAAAGGTCCTCAGAGAGGTAAAATCCATCACACATTACTGAAAGCCATTGTTGACAATAAACTCCTTCAGAGTCAATTACAAACTGTAAGCTGTACAGCCTCATTAGCTCTGCTGCAACTGGTGAGCTGTAACTGCTTGGGAGTAAATGAGGAAACTGTTGTTCACACAGAAGAAGGGAGAGATTGGAACACATTTCATTCTGGCTCTGAAGAGCTCACAGAAGTAAAATGTAGCAATAGTGTTGTTGTTCAACAAGTCAGCAGATGTGACTGAATCCACACAGGGAGCAGATATGTTGTGCAAGAGGGCAACATTTTACAGAGCCACTCTCAATGCCAAACCACACTAAACTCAGGGGTTTTTAAATTATAACTATGAATATTTCTCACTCACTTTTTTTTTTTTTTTTTAAATGTACAGAATTATGTGTGATGGAGAAAACTCTCTGCTTCACATCCATGCCTTTCATTGAACAATCAACTTTAGAGCAATGCCAGCTCTTTGGTAAGCAGTACAATGTACTGTAACACAACAAGAACATCTCCTTTCCTACAGCTGTGGATGTACCTCTGCAGGACTTTGAACAATTTGTGGGTTACCTGAAACTTGTTGATTAAAGACATGAGGAATGGACCTAATTTACCAATATCTATCAATTAGTAGCCTCAAATAGCATAATATTAAAATTGTCATTATCAGGCTTTTTAGAGTAATACTGCTATCTCTGTTTTATTCAGCAGCTGGAAAACTGAAATACAGCATGGTTTGACTTTTACAAACGTTTTTAGAAATGCTCTGCATAGCGTTGCATTCCTGACTGAGAAAGCTAAAACTCATTTTCAAAAGCAATGCAGGCAATCAGGAGTCCAACCCCCAGTGGAAAAAAAAAAAAAAAAAAAAAAAAAGCCTTTTATTTTAGACACTGGGCCTAAATTTAGACATCTATCTTTTCACAAAAAACTCCTGGCCAAAAGACAGCTTGTGCAGAAACAAATGCAGAAAAAAACCCACCATTTTCCAAAACTTTCTGTAGTTTTTGGATAATGTGAATCAGCTTCTTTATTCTTGGATCTTGAATCAAATTCAGTGGAAAGAAATGTGCAGTCTTATTTAGTTGTTGTTATACTCTGAGTTTCTGCCTTTGAACATGCAGTCCTCAGTAAGCTTGTGTTCCATGCCAAGGTTAAGAATAACAGTAAAAAATTAAAATCACTGGAGTACTTACAGGAGAATGAAATGTTGGGTTTTGTGTTAACAAAATAAAAATACCTAATACCTTCTAAAACATATTCAAAGCTTGCCTAAGGTGCTCAACAGAATCTCTTAGGGAACTGTAGCATACACTGGTCCCTTCTGGGGACCTAAGTCTCACAGGACCACAAAGTACAAGAACCTAGTGACCCCTTTTCAACAACAAAATGAAAAGAAATAAGTAGTTTCCCTTATACACATTGCATTCCCTTTTACCTGCTATTCAGCAGAGAAACATTTGCACAGAGTTACAGATCCTTCTGAAGGAAAGTGGGTTTAAATCTGATGGGAACCCAGCTTCTCCTGGAGTGCCCAGCATCATAATGCATCCACACCCTTTCATTCAGCACACGCCTAGCAATTTACCTTGTCTAGCACAGCTGGTGAAGCCCCACTCTTCCCTTGTTGGGTCTTAGATGGATCATTGCTTGCTGAACCAGACCCAGAGCTTGGTCCTTTACTGGATTTACGAGGGCTGAATCTTGACAGTCCCACACCACTGCTGCCTCCTCTGCAAGACTTCTGGTGCACGCTGAGACGGTCAGGAAGGAAGGTTCGGCCACAGTTTTCACAGGGCAGAAGCTGGGCTTGAGCACTATGATAAGCTCTCTCATTTGCAGCCATAAGCGTACAGGGACCACCAGTGAGGGAATCAGGTTTCCTGGGCTCTGCTCTTCTGAGATGCCTTGGTAGCTGATTGTTTTCAATGTGCCACTTCTCTAGGCACTGAGGTTCATGTATAGCAATAGACTGTGACCCAAATTCTCTGCCACAGATATAGCATACCCTGAAGCAAGGTCTTCTTGGTGGGATGACAGGCCGATTCAGTGGTATTTGAGACATGTTTGAAGAATCTGACCCTTTTGACATTACTGCAGTGCTTGGTCGCTTTTTCTGGGGTCCAGCTTCTTGATGTATGACTTCAGGCAAAATTCTGGGAAGATCTGACATGTTAGATGGTAAAACCTGTTCTGAAGGCAAGATGGTAGAGACCTAGATGCCAGGGCCTCTCCAGCACTTGGCAGAGCATTAAAGGTTTTGTTCACGTTCTTTTTCTTCACCTTTGTTTCCATGAAGGGTACAATATTTCAAGAAACTTCTCTCTCATGCACCTAAACGGCTTGGGAAAGTCTGTTATTCAGCATGATGCTCCACCCTTTTAATTCAGTTTCATGGACTTCAAAGCTTGAAGACTGCTTCCAATGGCCACCTCAGCAGAGAAAGAGGGCTTCTGTGGGGTTTTGTTTTGCCTTTTGGTATTACATAATCCTGAAATAAATTCGTACATATTAATAAACACCAGCTCTCTTGTTAGGATTACCAACCAGCGGTTTATCAGAAGGATCAGTTTACCTTACTGCTGTTATATCTTTAAATAACATCAAGTATATCCTTGCATTAATGATCAGCTGAATAATGTAAATATGAAATTCTAATCTCAGAGGACGTAAAGTCACGAGGAACATGAATCAAGATAGGCTTGCACAAACTGAAGCTGCTGAAATACATGTGGTTTTGAGTATAATCACTATGCTTTATTTTCAGTTATTGTCAGAAGTGGTATTTCTGACAGTCTATAATTTCTAAGCCATTTATGTTGATAGTGAAAAACAATTTCCCTGTCTCAAGAGAAATGAAAATAAGTCCCTTAGTAGACATATGTTAATGTCCAACCTCCAAAGGGACAGTTAGCATAGAAAATGCTCCCAGTCTGTAGTCTGAAGGAAATTATTAGTATCCTTTACTCAGGGCTTGTTAGGTGGTGTCTCAAGTTCTCTCACCAGTCTTGATTCTCCCAATACAGGAGCATTATTAATAACATAGAGTAAGTTTACCCATAAGGGCTACTGAGTTGCTTTGCGTGCTGAAGCACACACCATATGAGGAGAAGTTAAGGGCACTGTGCTTGTTTAGTCTCAAGAAGCTAGAGATATTTCAAGTTTTCAGCTTGCAACCTAACCCTGCATACACACAGCTTTGTGTGGTATCACTTAAATGTTCATTTCTCACAGAGGCAATCTTTTGTACTGGTACTCCAGGGATCAGAAAATAGAATTCAGACTGTAAGTATGTTATGGTTGGGCTTATTGTTTTACTGCAAGAATACAAAATAACTAGAGGCTAGCTTTAGTCATAAGCAAGAAATTGCACAGATAAATGACTGCCAAGGACAGCAAGGTTACCGTTGCCTATCTATAGCAGAAGAAACAGTTGATTATTGCTTATTTTGCCACGAAGAATAGGGTAAACGCGAAATGGCCACTGTTCGGGGGATGGCAGCTCTTCCTTTGACTTAAGAATCACCTTGTCCTTACTGAATATTCCAAACTTTTTCTCATCCCTGCCAAACTTTTAGAGGGTTCCTAACTCCCAGACTTATCTACCCAAAGATCCCACTGACCCATCTTAGTTCACTTGTTCTGTCGCTACACACCAACTTGGAACACTTCTGAACTGCTTTTTTGTAATGTCACTATGGGAGACTTTGCTTTTGCTCAACAGCCTTCTCACCCTTATCATTCCCACCTCTGAACCTAGCAACTGACTTTTACTACCAAAGTCTTGCCCTTACCCTTGAGATGAAAAACTTAAACTTCGCCTGTGACACTGAGAAGCCCTGAGCTAGTCATTCACAAATGTTCCAGGGGATACCTTAGGGACATAGTCACCAGTGAAAAAAAAAAAAAAAAAAAAGTTGTCCTCAGGTTCACATGATTACTCATCCCCTTGCCAGGCACACAATTTTTTTTTTTTTTTCAGGTATTAAAAAACCTCCTTTTTTTGTCTGACTCCCACACAATCTATAATTGTGAAATATATTTCTATATGCTTGTATATAAATACTTGTATTTGTTAAAAACATAGTACAGACAAAGAAATAAAGGTTAAAAGCAGTTTGGACAGTAGCAATTAATACTTGGGCAGCTAGACGCCTTTAAATTGATGCTATTCCATTTTAAAGAAATAATTTTTGCCCTCAGCAGCAATGATATCTTAGTGTAAAAACTTTGTTAATTGTGGAAAAAGTATTAAAAAAGCTACTTGTGCAACAAATGCCAAAACCTTTCCCTGGTTTTCTTTTTTGGAAAGCCTAAATTTTCTTATCTTAACTTCACAGAAGGCTGATCAGTTTGTACCACAACTTGCCACTGCTGGAGTTTGCCAGTTTCACCCAGGACACGTGTGTGATTCAGTCTGGTGAACGGTTCAACAGTATGTGAAATTAGAATTGCAAACTAGCATTGAGGCTACTTTACAACAAGACCCTTTCAAAGACTGGGAGAGTTTCCAAGAAGGGTGGCCTGTTGGATGAATCCAAGTTGGGAAGCAGCCAAGCTCTTTAGGAGGATGAAGGGAATGGAGAGCCAGGGAAACATTAAAGTGTCATAAAGGCAAGAGAGATAAGGGTTATTGGAAGGTCACAGGAAGGGAACATCATAAAGTTCAGCTACATTTCAGGGAACTTCTGAACTTTGCAAGGTCCTATTTACGTCCTATTTACTGATTTATGTCAGAATGATATTTTCTGCTACCTGAGAGGATTTTTAAAGCAACAGTGGACATCGAACTGCCTGCTGCATGAAGAATGTTACGTGACCAAATCTGTTACCATTAAGAATTAATCAGTCAGTAAAAGATGCTATAAACAACCTAGTAATATAACCTATTGTTGGATTTCCAAGCTTGCTATTGTAAATACTTCATACGAGAATTATGCTTCCTTGTGGGGATTACACCATTTAGTCTACACTTATTCCTGCCAAGTTGAGCGTTATTATTTGGAAACTTCCTATAAATTCAGTGTGAAATGAAAAGGCATATGAGCAGTTCAAATCTTCTTTTCTTAAGCTTAATGGTAAAGATGTAGAAGTAAATCAGGATTGGTGTTTAACATCTCTTTTCAAAACATACAACTTTCTTACATTTTTCTTTTTAAAATCCTGCGACATGCTATCTAATAAAGTGGGAACCTATGGATGATCATTGCACGTAGCTGTGGGAAAACATTAATCTCGTCTGCAGGGCCACTGAGTACAATACTTAAAAAACAATCTCATGAACTGCAGGGACAGGGCACTTGCAACTAATGGATGAGTTCAATATAATTAAAGCAAGTGAAATACCATGGCTTGTTTGGCATCAGGCTGAGCACCTCACTTAACCTAAAATAGAGCAGAATGACGTGAGTGCAAATAGCTCAGTATGCCTCTTGTCTTCTTCTGAAGAGGGAAGTGGAACTCTTGCATACTGTTTTTCAGCTTATCCTAACCAGAAATTGCAAAAATACTATTACTCTCCATGCTTCAGTAACGCCACATTCTCTCAGCTGCCATATATGATTCAACCCATAGGGGCAAGAGGAAATTTATTCCCTGAAATGGCCTTCTTTATGTCTTCTTTCATGTCAGTGTTGGACCTTGGAAGCAAAGTTAACACATACGTTTGCTATTTCCTGTATGCAGCCCATTTCCGAAGAGTGACTCTCTCTGTTTTTCATCTCTCTTGATTCTCTCATGTAAACAATTCCTCAAAACCCATTATAAGGTCATTTTATAAGCCTGGATTCCTTGACCAAATTAACAAAAGATACTTGTGTTAGCTGGGGGATTAAGTTGGCTGTTTTCAATGAATCCCTAACATTACTGCTTTTGACTTATCTACAATTCCACTTGGAGACATCCCAGCTGAAAAAAAATCAATTTACTTCACAGAAGAACCTATAGCATGAAGCCTCCTGATGCCAGGACACAACCACACTTATTCAACGGACAAAATACAGGCACAGTTGTGACGGCCTGGGGAATCTGTTTATGTACAGTTTATCAATGCTCACTGCTACTGCAGCCTCTCCCTGTGCAGCTGTATCAGGCTGTAAACCCCATTTAACTATACGGCTGGCTTAACGTCGCCGGTCCCATCAGCCAGCACAGAAAAGGACAACATAAATCATTACATCAGATAAACACAGAGCTAAAACAAAGGTCACAGCTCTTTCAAGCTTATACATCTCAAAGAAATACCACTTGGACATGCCTGACTCCCTCTAAAGGAAGAAACAATTTTCACATCTGGATTTAGGAGGGAGGACCATAAACAAGCAAAATAAACAGTGGGAACAACCGATTCCTTTCCTATTTTAAAAACATCTTGATAAAGCTATGAAAAGGATTTATATTAAGTACTTGCTTGAGGTGGCAGTGGCTTACATCCAGGAGGCTCTTTGGAGAAGTCATCTGTAATTGGAGAGTACTTACAAAATCAGGACTCACATAACGGAGCTATGAGAATATCTGCGTGGGTTGCTCTGCCTGAGGAAGTGTGTGACGGACCACAGAGACATGTTAAACAAAGGGGGAAACATATGGCTCCAAAATGGTGGCATTCAAATACAACAGCCTGGTTGGAAGCCCACCTACAGATCAGGCTGTCAGTGTCAAAAAAGAGAATAAAGTAATTAATTTTAGATTGCAAAAAGACAGCAGTTAGTTCGGTATCTTGGATTCAAGAGTTCCTGGCTATTTAAGCCCTTATTTATGCAACCCCACACTAAATTCTGAGAAGATTTCCCCTTTTTTGTCTCAACTGCTATACTCAGTGTTGCATACTCGTTCTGCCTGCTCATCACCCAGTGTTTGAAATCATAGGCTTTCTGTTTATGACATCACAGTTGCTATTATATAGGTCGATTAATAAAAGTGATTCATGTAAATTGGACTAAAGTAATGAGCATTCTAAAAGAAAAGTTGCTTCAGTTGTAATACCTAACTTTACTGTTACATGAATTACAATGTCTCAAATAGTTTTAAGGGAGAAGCAGCAAGCAACTACTTCTTGCACTACAACAGTATCCATAGATGGTGGCTTCTCAGCATGGGCTGGAATGTGTAAAAAGATAAAGGAAAATAACTCTGTTTAAGAGGATGAAAGATACAAGAGAGGGATAAAGTGAC